CGTACATCTTAAAAACCCGTTTAATAAAGTCTACTGGGCGAAAGTTACCCTTTAAAAAAAAAAAAAAAAAAAAAAAAAAAAAAAATATTGTTAAAATTTCAAACATAAAAGTATTTGTTGAATTATTAAACATTGATATTAATTTTTTAATTGCTTTACTTTCATTAATTGTATTTTCTTCTTGAAGAAAAAAAACTTTCAAATAGTATAAATGTTTTTCTATCCAAAAAACAAAATTAAATCAAGAATTCTATCTAGTTTTTGTAGGTAAAAAAGATAAAGTTAAATTATCAAAAAAGAAAAATGAATTTAAAAAAAAAAATCTATTTTCTTTTGCAAGAATTATTTTGAAGAAAAGATATTTTAATATTTTGAATAGTAATTTCTAATGGTTTAAAATTATTAAATTCTATTCAAGTATTATTTACCAAATTTAAAATATGTATAAAATAACAATTATATTTTATTCGAGGAATTAAAGAAGATAAAACAGTAAAGTTTTTAACATATATAAAGCATTATCTGAAATTAATAAAATAATATTTTCAAAAGAAATATCATAAAAATAAATAGTACACACAAATAATTATGCAATAGATAAATTATCTATAACTGTCAAATGTTCAATTCTAACAAGCTTTGTAAAATTTTTAAAACTAAACAAAATGTTTACAATTGCATACCTACAACTATTAGTTGATTTATCAACAATAATTGAAATTGGTTGTTCTATCAAAACAGTTTTTAAATTTTTTAATTCTATATTATATACAATTGATAAATATTTTTTTCTAAGTTATGAAGATCCAACAATAGTATCTCCTATTTATAATAAAAATAAATTAGAAAAATATATATAATATAATATAATATAATATACTGTAACTTACTATTTTTACAATATTGAGACGAAAATGGTTTAAGCTTATCAATTTTTTTTAATGATACAATATATTTGCTTAAGTGAATGCTCGAACCAGATCTACATTAATCATTTCATGATCACTTGCTGAATCAACTGAACCCATAAATATAAGCTGGCATGTTCTTTGTATGGGTTTTTTTTTATTATTTTTATGTTTTTCAATTTTCAAATGTTGGTCAACTGAAAACTTTTTTTCATGATTTACTACATAGTTGCAAAAAACACAAAATAGTTTTTTGCCTTCTAATGTAAAAATTTTCTTGATAAAGGTCACATTCTCATTGATGTTCACTAGCGGTAATCATTTTTTATATAATATGCTATAACTGATATGCTAGATATGCGTCCGATATGCTGGATAAGCTTAAGGTGACAAATATGCGGTCGCATATAATATGCGAAAAAAGGGCCGCATATGCATAATGGTAAATGTGGAAGGTTCGATTTATATCATGTGATTGTGAACTATTTTTAGTGGCCTAAAACGCGTCTTGCAAATCACAATGTTGATTTTGCATCATGAGTAACGACGTTGAACCCTACTCTGGTTATACTCGTAAGTGTAGATCGCGATTTAATAGAAAAATAGGTTCCTTCTTTTCTAACTTGCCCTAACAAATTATTACAGAACTTATCTCTTACTTGAACGAGCACACAGAATGGTCCTACACTGAATTTTTAGATCTTCACCGAAGTGCCATTCTTTCCTCACAACCTTTCTCGGAAAAATGGAACGTTCTTGACCTCACTTGGTCTCGCAGATTTTTAACGGAGTCAAAAAAACTGAAAGAATGTAACTTTACAGTCTTGGAAGATAAGGTTATGTATTCTTATATATTGCAAAAATAGGGAGCTTCTGTCTATTCTCATCTAGATTAGAAGTATTGGTTCTTGTCCCAGCCCAAGTAATAGTAGTGGCAACTCCACCTATTCTCACCTAGGTTAGGAGGTATCGGCTCTCATTCCGGCCCTACTATTGCGACTTACATTTTCTCTTTTGAGATTAAGTTTTTACTAGTGAAGTAGAAATTATGAACTCATTTTTGCCTTCATATTTGTCAGGTGAAAAATCAACGTGCAAACAAGAGTTTACAGACCTACTGGGAGGGAATAATTTACGGATGGAAAATGGTTTTTGATGTCACCTACCTTTGTCATCTTTTACGCACTATCATACGAATATTGATTAAACTCTTGTAGAGCAGATGGAAGCAAAGCGGGCGCATCTCATTGGCAGTATGAAAGTATACAGCAATGTTGCAGAATATAATTCTGAACTATTATCTTTTGAAGACTATTCCAATATATTTCCTCTGCAAAGCGGACATCGAAAGGTAAAATTAAGGCAATCCATAAAGCTCCAAGAAACAAGTCCAAGTTATTATACACTTCTCTATACTAGAATAAAGCAATCAACGAAGTGGGTGAGATAAACTCGTCTCGAAATGATGCATGCATGTAAGTTATATTATAATCAAGTTCACCTGTTGTTATCTGTGATTAACACATCACTCGGTTCAAGTCAAGAAACAATCGAAGATGCAGAGAACAATCCGTTTTTAGTATCAGAATATGACGAGGACGAGGTATGATTGAGAATGTGTTTAGTTATCAAAGTTCAGACTATTTGTAGCAGTCAAAATCAGGGATATATCTAGGATCATATTTACTTGTTCTAACGCTTTTTTTTTGCGAACAGCTTACTGAATATGCATATGTACAATAGGTATCAACCGAAGATATAAAATTACCAACCCCTCATAAACGAGAGAATGAAGTTGAAGGAAACTCACGTAAAAAGGTAAAAAAATTATAGGCGGTAAAGTTAAAAGAACATAAAAAGTTCATATTTTCTATATTTAGGCAAAAAAAAATGTGGAAAGTGCTCCAAATCCGAAGAGCCTGAGACCAACAAATGATAGTGAAGAGTCTTTCTTTCCTGATGTAAAACTTGAAGATGACGAAGAAATAAAGTTTGATTTTACAGATATTGAAAAGGAGTTGCAACGGGAACCGACCAATGAGGTATGCCACATGTCAAGATCCTGGTTCTCTTATTCGAATATCTCACAGCTTACTTCCGTTTTTTTAGTGGATAGTTGGTTCCATCAACGTATCTCAAAGATTTAGACAATATCAGATAGATGTAATTGAGAAGGCGAAGACCAACAGATTAAAGTGGAGTGATTTTTATGAAATATTGTAAGTATTTTTGAATATGGAATAATACTAGATGATGTATTACTCTAATGACTTTGCGTGCTTGATAGGGCATTGTCATCGGTAATTGTATTCAGCTCATCTTGCCCTTACCCTGCTTCGATTTTCACAAGTCGGGAATGGCAAAATATTACACGTGAGAATCCATACGTTGTAAAGGATCCAGTACTACCAACAGAGGTTGTATCCTCTTTACGGAATGCATCTGCTGATTGTTTAGAAGGAAAGACCACTTTTTTGTCCGTATATGATTCTGAAATTAGTCAAGCCGTTTCTAGAATTTTCAACGACATGTAAGTCTTGATTTAGTAACTGTGAACCGAGATCAAATCTGCCTCTTATCTTTTTTTCATGTATAACAGGTGTAATAGCGTTCCTGCCGTTTCCCCAACCAAAACATCAGAGGATGAACATTGTTTCCAATTGCTACATCCAATTATCCGTCCGTTGTTTTTTACTTGTTTAAACAAAGAATATAAGATTCGGTTGAATCGTGCAACAAAGGGTACATTAAAGAGGGCGGATTTTTCGTGCTTGGTCGACGAAATCCCTATTTTAAATTCAGAGATTAAACCACCTGGATTCACACCTCTCCAACAACAAAAAGATAAGTTGAAGGTACAGTTGCAAGGGCGCAAGTCCATCAATCAGCTGTTAAAAATGAAAGGCGGTCCAGAAGTGGTAGTATTGTTAACAAATCAAGGTACGAGTGCTAGATAATGTTTGATTTCAATTTAATTAATTAAGTATATTAAATCATACCTTCAGGAGATTTGGTAGAATCACACATTATGGACCTCAAATACGATGGACTTTACAGGTCATGGCCTTTTTTAACTACCCGACTGGTCAAAGATAAAACTACCATTCCTTTGCTGGAATCAAACATTCGGCACTTTGTGGCACTAGAGGTACACACGCAACATATTTCATTTTTATGTTTGTAACGAAATATTTAACAACTTTCATTTATATTTTGCATTGGCAGGAACGAATCAGCAAAATCGCTGAAGACTACAATTGTCGAATTTCTCAAAGTGGCACAACCACTCCTCCATTACAAATACATTATATGCGAGACCTACCAAGCAGTCCACAAATAAAAGAGATGCTTAAGTAGGTTTAACATTTCTACTATTAACAAATTATATATAAAAAATCAACAATGAAATAATACAAAATTAATTCAAAAATAAACTTCAACGTATAAGTACATTAAACGTGCAAGTTATATCTTGTTTATTGTGCCGTTCAGATATATCTGAAAAATAAATTTCGCCCTTGCTAATATTTTATTGTTTTTTCGTGTAAATGCATTTGGACCCGCCGTCGATATCTAGGATATCATGCGTATTTGTTCGTCGCCATGATCCGAGGTATTTCCAACATATTTTGCATGTGTACTAAAATTTTTGGTTGCGATTTCGAACATTTGTTCGCTGAAATTTAATCATGTGATTTGGACGAACATGACGAGATGAATAATCTATGTTGCTTGGTTGCATTGGGTGATTTTGAGTTTGGTGATTTTGAGTGAGGTGAACTGTGCTTCCCCCGACTTTAGATTATCATTCCACTTCGTCCAGGGCAACTCGTTGCTTTTTCTTCTCGTCTCCTTGTTGCAAGACTCATTGTTGTAAGACGGGTTCCTCTTGTTGTGGAAGCACCTGTTGTATGCTGGAATCCTCTTGTTGTGGAGACACCTGTTGTCTGTCTGCTTGTTGTAGAAACACTTGTTGTCTGCTAGGCCAAATTGTAATAGTGCTAGCCAATGCGAAGAGCCATGGATAGCGACAACAGTAACATATTCAGCACTCCCAATAGTGGATTCTTCCTTAAGACCTTGGAAAGTTATGGAGAAAAACTATGTAACTTTATATTAAAAAACTCCAATTTTCTGAAAGATATCCAAAATATCATTAATGACGAGCAATCTATGGTTCCTTATTAACCGACTTAACTCTGGCAAAGGAAGCATATTTCAGGGAAAGAATTACGACGAAAGGCAAGGGGTAAAAGATTATTTAAGTACAGACGATGCCTTCAATGCATATTCCAATACACGTAATAAAGTGAGCGCTTTTCTGAAAGAAGTCGTGAACGCAATGCCTAACGTCCCAAACAAAAGAAATCTTGGCGTAACACCAACGCATACATCCGAAAGAGGCTCGGATTTGAATATCACAATGCATATATCCAAAAGAGACTTGGATTTTAATTCCACTTCCTTTGAATATTATTCACGGTTTATGCATGAAGATTTGACAGGTAGGAAACTTCCTCCAGACGGCAATTCTTTAAACACACCCAGCAAGTCCTCTTCTACCTTATCGTTCCCCTATTTTTCCATAACATTAACAGTAATTGTGGTAAATCTTATTTTTAAGAAATTTTTAGAATAACGTTAAATAAAAGAATACGCTTGGATAGAGAAATGCTATTTCAGTAAAACAGAGATATATATTGTATGATATACATTGCATTTTTTATTGTTTATAATATTTGTATGTCTTACCGTTAACTGTATTATTAGTCAACCGTAAGAGGTCACACATATGGACACAGTTAGGATGGTTCCAAAACTCGTGGTATATACTTTGGAGGGTGTTTATAAATCTGATGCTGTTGCCGACATTCTAAGAAATCGCGATATTCTCTCAAGTGAAATCGATACCCTTTTTTGCGAGAAGCAGAAAAATATCTCGAATACCACACCCAAAATAGATTATGCAACAATTATCCCAAATGTAGATTTATCCACACACCCGAAATAGATTTACGTGTCAAACATATACAGTATACATGAGTGATTTATACATAAATATGGATCTCTCCCATTCTCATCGTATACATCACTTGCAAAATATGACGAATATACACAACTCATCTAATAACCCAGGCCCTATGAGGCACTCTTCGAGCATCTGCACTAAAATTGAATCATATTATTCTAGAATATATAGTTATTAGTGGAACTAGCAAGGCTAAATCAAATAGGTCTGAGTTCTTAAATTCGATATAAATCACCAAATATGTCAGGTTTTAATATTCCTATTATTATTGATAAAAAAACTAAATTACAGAAACCCATTAATAATAGACCGGGATATGATACGAAATATATAGAGACATATATCTACAAATATTGTGAAATTAATAACTATCAACAATTCTTAGATAAACTCTGAGATTGAAAGACAATATGATACTTTATCTGTTATTCGACCCAATGAAACTCCACAACAATGGGCTATTCGGGTCAGGGTTCCTTTACAAGAGTTAGTCTCTGAAAAGAAAAGAAGCGTATATCATGTACACTATTTATATGGTGGATTTGGAAATTCTAAGCTAGTCAATCACGACCACTACAGACCGAGAATTCACAAAACTCATATGACAATTTGTCCTGATTGCTGGAAATTGATTCAAGTTAATGATGTGAAACCAAAGAAAGTATATGCTTCTGCTATTTACAGATATATCGAAAAGATTGAACCTGCAGATTTGATGAAGTATCATTGGGATTATGAATGTAATAATCCAAAATCTCAAGATGGATATGCTCGAATCATACAAACTGCTTGTCACCGATTCAAAGAAAGAGTACCATCAAATGCACATCTTGCTTGGTTAAGTTTACCAAATGATAATACTCCGGATGATGGAAAGTTTCTAGGTTTAATGAGACGTAAAGTGAAAAATCCTCAGACTCGAGAACAATTTAATCAATGGCGTAGTAAATGGATTGAATTATATAAAAACGATCCTATAATGTGCAGTTCCATTATTAATAGACAATATGAAGAATATTATATTCTGGTTAATTGGATAAGTTCTAAAAAGAGTCAATTACGGATTAGATTTCAAAAGCGACTTTTAGAAATAGAAGCATAGTACTTTAGACCTTATTTCGTTATCCTGATGGTCAGTAACATTTTTTACTTTAGTTTTATTTTATCTGATACAAAAAACCCCCCGGTACAAATAGAATTTTTTATTTTTCAACATCTACTTCAACCTCAATCAGGCTGGATACTGAAAGCTATTTCATTGGAGAATAGTAGCAAATAAGATATTAAAAACATCCATCTCAATTTCAACACTAGGCTGGATACATGCATCTTCTCAATTATATAAGAAGTGGCGAGTAGGATGTGGGGCATAGCCTATTGCTTTGCAATACTTATATTGTTATATTAATAAATAATGAAAAAAATAATTATTATCTCATTATTGCGAATCACGCTCTACTCATTAGAAAGATCAAGAGCTTGATCCCATCCTTTGCGAATATAAAGTGGATCCTCTTTTGCTCTTGTTAAATTGATAACAATAAATTTCCTACCTTGCAAATTTTTATTGAGTATTTTGACAACATCATGCCATTTTTTTGTATATCATTGGGCAATGTTAACTAGTTCATCATATATCCCACTGCCATTAAAGAGAACAATATAATTGAGATTTTTTCTTATTAGTTTTGGACAGTCAAAAAAGCTTTGTGTAGTATACAGTATATACTACTAATGTTTTCATGATGCCTTTCAATAAAGTAACAAGCAATTTTTTCTTATATATTTTTTAGGTTCGGTACACACATCTTCAAATATAACAACTGTTCCTCTTTCAGGAGAGAAGTCATCAACTTTTGGCATTTTATCAGGTTTTATTGCTTGAAATTTAACATCTTCATGATATTGTTTTGGGCTATTCACAATTATTTTATAGCAATCTCACAGATATTTATACTTGGGCTTATTAATTTAATGACTGATTAAAACCAAATTATCATTTTTAATATACTGTATCTCATTCTGCCTTTTTCCCACTAAACAATTGATACATTTTATTTCCAAGTAAAAGGTTGATAACTTCATTAGTTTTTTCTGATCTTGTTTATCCTGAAACCAATAAGTTGAAAGGTCATTAAAATATAAAATTAAGGTCATTAAATCTCTCTATATTTTTGTATTTGTCAATATTCAAAACTATCCTTTTAATAGGATCAAGCTTTTCTATTTTTATCTTAATTAAACTAAGTCACTAATTATTATACCAAAAAATAGTGGTATAAATGACTACTTACAGTATATCTAAACAAAATTATGTTTATTATTTTTTATTTATAAATTAAATATTACATATTACATAATAAATATAAAATAACAGAAATTCATAAACAACTTTCTAAATTTATAGGTTTCAAACATAATGAGATTCATTTTCCAAAAATAAGAGAGATCAATGACTATTTCAAAAAATTATTGCAAATCAAAAAATGGCAATCAATATTATATTAAATAATTTTTATTTTTTGCTCCTTACTGAATATAATGGTAAAAGTAATTGATTAATATATTTCAGGTGATTAATATTTGTATGTGAAAAGGTTTTGTTAAATATCTTTCATAACATTACTAATAAAATCATAATGCATCTTCAATATAAATTCTAAACTATTTTATTGGCATCAATAGTAAGGTATTCAAATATTCCATCACAATTGGATTCAGAATATGATATTATCAACTAATAAGATAGTATCAATTATTATATTTATTAATACCTGTATTTTCTAAATACCCTTTTTTAAGTAATTCACTTTTGATATAGAGAAATAAGTCACATGTATACAATATTTCAATAAGAACTATATTCTCTCTTTTATATATATCTCACTTTTTTTGATTCTACATTTGACTATCTAAGTCTATCTTGTCTCATTTATGAAACATTGATTATTAGAAAAATGTTAAGGCCCCTAGAATTAGAATACTAATTTTAGCTCTTCATTATATTCATCTAGTTGTATTCCATCTAAAAATGATGGTTTACAAGATGAAAATTTTTTATTTAACAGATCTTTGAAAATATATCTATAGTATCTCTTATTAGTATAGTGAAAACAAATTAGATACTATTCAAATTTCTACTTCTGGATTTTATAAGGTACATATTATTGATATGATACATATGTTCAAAGTTATACTGTACATCATAACTATTTATTTGATTAGCTTTACCAAGATACTTCCTATTATGCTTCTCAGCATAAGCTTGTACCTTAGCTATTTTATTAATAATACAGATAAAATTAATAGACCTGGAATGGGTATTTTCTTTCAATATACTCTGGAATGGATATTTAAGTGTATCAATATTTACATACATAAACTTTTTCCTTACAAATACACGTGATGTATATATTCTCTATCTAAATAATAATAAACTACCATAAATCACTGCATACAATACCCCGGGTATTAATCAATTTACCCTATGATAAATTGATTAATACCCGGAGGGTATTCTACTAGAAGGGGAGTAGTATAAATGGCAGGATATTTAGTATCTCTCACTTGCCCATTCATACTGCAATTTTACTGGCTCTAACTTAATATACCTGGGTAGTAATCATTTATTGAGTAACAATTTTCTTGAATACTACCAGGTATTATTTAAGGAGAGGTATTACTTTAGGGGGGGTATTGTATGCAGTGGTTTATGGTAGTTCATTTTTTATTATCATGAATTTGTAAATTTTATATAAAGAAGGGCTTCAACTTTCATTCATTATGTGCTTTTGATTTTTTATACTTCTTTTTCACTCCGCATTAATAAGTAAGTACCGAATGATATCTTCCTTTTTTAATTTTTTTTTATCTTTACCAACTGAACATTTATATTTTGTAGACAATTTAGACTCTACTTTATTCAATTTAATTGCTTTTACGAGTACTAATTACCGTTTTTTGATCCTAGTACTCATATAAGTCATATTGGATAATTATTCAAATATTCCAGAACTTTTGATAAATGTTTAACCCATACTCTTATTAATTTAGAATTCCCAGATATACTATACTTTCAATAGCAAATTGAACTTTATATAGCATCTCTGTCAATATCTTATAAAATCTGTCTATGATTGTAAGTCATCAATAAGAGTACATATCTATAACTTGGGTTGTAATATTATGTACTTCTATTATTTTTGAAGTTTTATCCATAAATTCTCTATTACCATCTGATTGTAAAAAATTAGGTCAAATAAGAAGAATATTCAAATTGTTATAAATTTTCTTAAATGCTTTGACTACCTTTGAACTGTTTTTTGAAGTTAGAAAAACAGCATATTTAAAACAAAATATAACATCTATAACAGTAAGTGCCTATTTATGTCTTTTTATTAATAATATTCTTTGTAAAATATAACAAATAATACATATATATACAGTTTAAATGTAAAATTTTTCCATAACTTACTCATAGGATATTTTTCAGTGACTGAGCATACTTTTGTTACTTATTCTGATTATACAACCATTTATGAACTTTTTTAAATGAAAATTGATATCCTTCTTTCTTAAGATTTTTATATAATTTTTGACCATTGGAATAATAGCCTATAGATTGGTAAAAAAGCAATTTACAGATTAAGTTTAACTTTTTATTTGGATCGATTCTAATAATAAGATAGCTTAATTTATATAAAGTATAGTCTAAAGACCTACTCATTTTCACTATATTTTACTATAATAATAAACTATATTTTAGCAAAGTTAAGAAATAAGTCAATATAATATATATAAAAAATAAAAACAGAATCTCATTACTTGTAATAATCATGATATTTCATAAACCCTGACTCTTCAATTGAATAATTCATGGATCAGTTATGGATAAAGAACTTGAACTAGAACAAATTAGCCAAGAACTTTAAGAAATATTGCAATCAAAGATAACCATTAACAAATAGAATAAGAAATATATAAAGAATTTGGAATGTAAATATATCTGGTGTGAGAATAAAATTCAATCTTTCAATAAAGAACTGGAACCGCTTGAGAATGCTTTAGAGAAAGAAAAGATAGAGTTGAGATTGGAAATATTATTCTTTAAAAAAAGCTTATATCAAGTTAAAAAAAGAGGTTTGAAACAAAATATCTTGTATCAATAATATAGAAAAACAATTACAAGAATCAGAAGAACAAATTCAAAATCTGAGGTATGAATTTAAAGTTATTTTTTTTTAAAGAAGCTTTCCAAATTTATATAATTCAGAAGAGGAAAATACAGATATAGCAAATCTTAACCTTTTTATACAAATCAATGAGGTTTAAATTATATTGAAAATTTATTCAAGGTACTAGAACACTATTAAATAATTCTATAAATATTATAAATAACATTAGAGATTCCTTGAATGATGTTTATCTTAATTACCAAAATACATTTCAGAATATTAATAGTATTATAGCTCAACAAGATAATAGAGATAATCAAATAGTTCAGTTACAATAGAATATTAATTTTTATAGATAATGAAATATTGTTTTGCAAAATCAAGTTAATCGGTTTATTTAAAATAATTTTAGGATCAAGTCAATCAAATTATCCAAGAACAAGATAACTTAAGTTAACTGACTTACTCAAGAGCATGACAATTATCAGAATGATCTTACTTTAATAACTATAGCTTATAATAATGAACAGAGAGAATGTCATTATTGGTGGTTCTTATATCATAATAAAAATAAATATTTTGGTGAATGAATTTGAGAAAAGTTTGCTATTCAATTATTATTACAGTGATATTTTTTGGGGAGAAAATAGAAGCCCAGCCATATTTATTGACTTTGATAAAGTAATAAATAAAATTAATGCAGAGATTATAAAGATTGTTATGTAGAACCATATATCATTTATGTCATTAAACTTCCTAAAACCTGATCTTTAACAGATTTACTGGGTGGCTTGTTGTCTGGAAGTATCCAGTTGAATTAAATTTCTACTACTCTACTATTTAGAAAAAACTAGACACTTTTTATTAGATCTTTAATCCTTCCAGATCCCTCCTAACTAATATGCCATGGTGGACTTGCTAGTTTTAAGAAAGGAGAAGTATATCTTTCTTTTGATCCTGGTGATTATAGCCTATCATCAATACCAAGTATATTCGGAGAGAGTGTGTGAGTTCAGTAGTATTCTTGTATCATGTGAGAGTGAAAAAACCATTTGGATCAGAATGGAAAAATCCTGGAGTGATTTTGGAATGGAAAAATGGTTGGGTATCATGTGTAATATAAGTTCTTAAGGTTTCATTTCAATAGGAGAAGTACTTATTCCATAGCTATGACACTTTCAGAAAGTAATGAGAGAGAGGAGACCACAGTCCATGTAATGTTTATTTACCTGCATTTCTAGTAAATGACTTAAAATAAACCTAAGGTTCTTATGGAGCTTAGAAAATGCATTCACATCACATGTCACATGTATCCTTGTTTACGTTTCTGCTAACCATAGAACAATCAATTTCAATCTTCAGCCAATCAATCCATTCAAAATCAGGTGTAACAGAAAATTCAAGGTCAAGCT